TTGGACGGGTGAGGAAGAAATAAGGAAGAAGAATTCAGCAGAAGGAGAAGGAGAGAAGAAGGTTTAGGAAGCAAAACTCTTCTATCATTTCATCACCCATTTCAATCCTACTATTAAGTAAGAAAACCCTCTCAATCCTCTCATTTTTTTTACATAACTGAAAATTTCAGATTATATACATATGATACATTGTCTAAACTGTGTTGAATCTGCCAGCATGTTTGCCTGAATTTTTAGACAATTTTATACTCAAAATTTCGAGATGATTTCTTCTACAAAGTTGTTGATAATGATGTCTAGTTCGTCCAGAAATTTTGGTAACAATTTTTGAGCTTTCTACGAATCTATACAAATTTTTTTTCTAAATCTAAAACTGTGTTGAGAGTAATCTGTTTTGAATCTGCCAGCATGTTTGCCCAAATTTTTAGACAATTTTATAATCAAAATTTCGAGATGATTTATTCTACAAAGTTGTTGATAATGATGTCTAGTTCATCCAGGAATTTTGGTAACAATTTTTGAGCTTTCTACGAATTTATACAATTTTTTTTTAAATCTGAAGCTGTGAGACAGATTTCACAAGATATTTGAAAATTTATTTAAAATTCTATACTAAGCCAAATCTGGTAATTTCTAACTAAAAGATGAAATTTGAGAAGTCTAGTTTCATGATAAATTTTTATATTATGGGTTTGATCTATAAATTTAAGCATGAAATTAATGTAAGGAAATGTGACAAATCTGTGTCATAAACACCCTTGGAATTTTTTTTGAATTATTTATAAATTATTTTTGAAAAATGCTTTCTGAAAAATGACCATAACATGTTTATTGAGTATCATGTAGATTGATATGAATTTTAGAGTTGTATAAGTAATGTATTTATAATTTTATTTGCAAGATATATATTCTGAAAATTTTTCTAGACAGGATAAAATCACCACTTTAATATTGTGCTAGTCTAATTTTGTAAATCAAAAATTTGTGCATGTGTGTATTTATGGTTTATTTCTTGTATCCAAGTTATTATGTTCATATCATGATTTAAATTAATTGTCTGTTAAATTTTGGACATTGAATAATTTGTGTTTAATATATAAAGCTACTGATAAAGGATTAATACCGGGTATTCAGGGTGAGCCCTGGTTTTTAATAACTTTTAAGTAAATTGTGTCGCGAAACTCTAAGCTGGCACGGGGATTATTTGAACCCTTATTGGTATTTGGTTTTGGAATAAGGGTGGATGTGCGGGTGGCACGCAGGGAAGTTACGTACTCCTGGCAGACCGTTCCCTTGGGGCAGACCACGGATGTTACGGCTTGGGTATATAACTCCGGGCATAGGCATCTTTGGTAGTTCTTGAATATTTGACCAAGGGGGGGTTCCAAATTAACCGTGGCCATGACTTAGTGGTTGGTAAGTTAAACCTCTTTGGTGAGATTTCAAGGGTCACCTAAGTTATTAAAATTATTTGAATTATTTTAATGGTTGTAATTTATATTTACAATTATATTATTATCTCGTGTTTATAATCTTATTATTTTTCTCTCAAAAAGAATGGTAGGTTGGTTATGTTTTCTTACTGTGTTGCAAAACTCATGGCATGTATTTTATTACCCTGGCGTTTCATGCCAGATTATGTCAATGAAGGGACAGAGGCTGAAATTAGAGCTGCTGTTAATATCGAGCCTTGGCTAACTTAGAGTCAAGATTTTATCAAAATAAAATCCTGTTATTTCTTGTATTAGTATTTAACTATGTTGTGACGTTGTGTGTGAACTTGTAGCTTTATTTTGTTGTTGGACTTTGACTATATAAGAATTTAAAGGTTCCTAATTAGTAGTTAAAATTTTATCTAGTAAGTTGTTGTTATTTAAAGTCTTACGATGTCTCAAAGAAAAAAAAAAAAATTGGGGCGTCACACTTGGACCCTTGCTTTAACCTCGACGTCTGAAAAGCTATCTGAGTGGTATTTTTAATAAAGTTATGTTATAAAGTTTTGATAAAGCTTTGCTTCGTTTTAGAAAAGTATTTGATCAAGCATGAATGATTGTCCCTAGTTTTGTATCACGTGTTATATTTGTTTTGATGACATTCTGGGAAAGTCCTTAGTGCCAGGGGACTATAATGCAACTGCACCCGTGTTTTGAAAGTCCTTAGTGCCAGGGGACTATAATGCAACTGCACCCGTGTTTTGAAAGTCCTTAGTGCCAGGGGACTATAATGCAACTGCACCCGTGTTTTGAAAGTCCTTAGTGCCAGGGGACTATAATGCAACTGCACCCGTGTTTTGAAAGTCCTTAGTGCCAGGGGACTATAATGCAACTGCACCCTTGTTTTGCCACTGACGGTTTTCCGCGTGGGTTTGTTTGTCCGGAATGTCATCCTTTGGTATTATGTAGATGTTATTAACATCCAAGAAGCTTTGAAAGATTTGATAGATGAACTTGGTTCATCCCTTTGATTTGTAAAGCTATGATATGTATTGTTTTAGACAAGATCTCGTATATCATTCATTCAAACCTTTATTACTTATACCATTCACTGAGTATTCAAGCTCATCCTCTCCTTATATATATGTAGCTGTCGAGCAAGAAGGCGGTGACGCCTAGACGTGTTTTGCAAGTTGTATTCGGATTTATTTTGCTAGCATCTTGAAGACTATGCTTCTTATCTTTATATTTCATGTATTTTGTATATGTCGGTTTGAGAAGCCTTTTGATAAAGATGTATTATGTATTTATTGTATTTGTATTCAAGTTGTAAATCATGTTAAGATGTATGCCATTTCATTTAATCTATGCACAGCTCTTATGGACTAATTAGATTGAATTTTATTGCTTCCACACATGTAAGCCTCATATGTATACTTTGATTGTGTGTGAATCCTTGTAAGTTGGCCTTGGGTAATCTCGGATTACTGGTCATCACGAGACCATTCTACTAGGGGTGGAGTGGGGTCGTGACATTTCTGTTTTCTATTTTTCATATTTTTTATTTTTAGTGAATATTGTTAAAATTTTAAACAATTTTTTTGTTTACTTTTTTAAGATGTACCTTACATAGATGTATCTAAATATTAAATATTTGTAAAAAAATATTTAAAAAAATTAATAAATACATAAAAATATGAAAAATGTATTGAATTTTCATATATATATATTTGTATTTTTGATATTTAGTGAATTTTTTAAAGATTTTTTTTCACAAATATTATACTTTTTAAGTGTATTTATGTTAGATGTGCCTAAAATTTTTTAAAATTGTTTAAAATATTAAAAAAATTCAGTAAAAACAAAAAAAAATGAAAAACGAAAGAGTAGAATTTTTTTAAAAATAAATTATGAAAACTAAAACTTAACAGGGTGATTTTTTCTCATACTTTTTTGTATTTTATTTCGTGGGTCTCATATTGGGTCTATAATGATAATATGAATTGTTCATCTTATAAGCTTAACAATAAAGATGTGTAAAAAAAACAATTTCATTAGATATCACAAGACATATAAACAAATTATATTTTAATTTTAAAATAGACGACAACTACTTAAATTGCCCATTATATAAAATAAAAGGTCACTTATTCATTTATTTACGGCATCCAATAAAATTGTTTTGTACAAACAATGAGGTTACGAGATAATGGTGCCAATCATTATTGTTGGTTTAACGTGGAGCCCAAGTATGGACAAATATAAATGATAGTGGTATGAAAATATACCATTCCAAATTAGGGAACAATCATATGCATTTTTGTAGAGGAAATGGATTTTCTATGGTTGGATTGGAGATGTTTTGTTGGGCTTGATGACCCATCTCAATATCTATTTTGGTGATCTAAATTATTAATTTTATAAGGTTTATTGAGCAAATTTTCAATGTAAAAAAAAAAAAAAAAAAATTGGATCACATTTATCCTTAAAAATAGACTATAAGCATGATCTTAAAAATAGACTGTTTACTTTTTTTAAAACAAATATAATCTAATTATACAATTATAATATCCGAACATTTTACTTATTTTTACATAGATAATCTCCTCAATCGGTCCTATAAAGAATGGGTCAAACTATTGAGGTAGGTTCGAAATCCATGCATCAAGATGTAACAGGACCTCTCTAGTTGGGCCGATTGGAGAGATTTTATTTTTAATTTTTCTGGTATATTGAATAAATTTTAACAATTAAATTTGGGATACAATTAGTGAAACACATCAGGCTTGCAGCCTTGTCCCCCCACACTACCCTGAGTCTTGCACATGGTGCCAGCTTATTTGCATGTGGAGATTTCAGATTTGGGATCTTCCTACAATAAATTAAACAAATTTAGCCAGCACTAATGTGTTGTACAAGGCCTATATGGTAGGTCTGAAAGTTGTGGAATATTGTATGACATTATTTATATAATGTTATTGATAAATAAAAAAATATAAAATATATTAGATAGATCATCTATCGTTTCTTAACAATTTAATAAAAATATAAGTTAATATTATCATATTAATACATTTTTTTATTATGTCATTGATTGAACGACGATACGCACATTAGTAAAATTCTTCACTATGTCATTGATTGAACAACAACACAGAATAATTACTGGCAAGTCTACTAGCCATTGGTTTGGAACTGAAATCATTCAAAAGAGCAAAGTAGAACTTAACTCACATTTTGAATGGTAAGGTTCATTGTAAGGCGATGATGGTGGTGACAACTGTAATTAATCTGGAAAACGTTTAATATTTTTGAAGAGAAAAAATATTTTTCATCCTAATCAACTTTAATCACAAAAATATTTTCTGTTGACTATTGTTTTTCATTCATATAAAAAGCACTACACAATCTGGAAAATACTTTTTGCAAAAAAATAAAAAAAAATAAAAAATATGGGAGGTGGAGAGGTCTCAGTCTAATTTTAGAGGACTTGTAGCCCCGCCCCATCAGACCTGTCAAATCAAAAGATAAAAAAGACAAATCAAAACATACAACATGAACATGATGAATGTCAAGGAGGCAAAACCCATGATAGAATATAATACCAATTCCATCCAAAAGAAATATATGTACAACAATTCAAAACAGATGGTGGCTACAGCCAGAAATCCCATCCAAATCACATACCATATTAGTTTCTGTTTCGGAACTAAAACTAATAGAGAGGCACCAAATGTTGCAATATGTTGCGAAAAATCAATCCTTTCATTGCAGAACCACACAATCTTGAGTAAAATTTGAAGCAACATGGGGTGAATGAGGTTCGTGAAGAGATTCTTCCTTGTTTGCACTGTTTTCCTCTGATCCAGTGTCATGCAAATGAGCTGCTTCCAGGATGTGGGCTTTCACCTCTTCGAATCTCTCCTCTGACAGAGAAACCTCGCAGAGAAGTCTACAGGCATTCTCGTCGGATGCACCACCATAGTCCTTCCTTCTCTTCAGTACCATATGACCGCTGATTTCCCACACAGCGGGATTCACTTGAGTGTCCAGAAGCTCCTCACTCACTTCTTCAAGTGCTTGTTTCTCCGCATAACACTGACCATTCAATCAGAAGCAGTTAATTAATTGTCTTGTGAATGAAGAAATATTACAAATGGACAGTAGGCAAACAAAAACTTGATTTCCTACATGTTTATTTGTAAAATGGCATTATTATTATTATTTTAAAGATATTTTAAAGATTGTGTGGCTGGCATGTGTTTGCACAGTCTTATCATTTGACGGACCTAGACTTCACAACCCAACACAATTACCTGTTAACAAAAGACAGTGACGAACATTGGCGTGTTTGCACTTCTCACAATGTTCATCTTTGTTGCACAAATAAGATCTCCTTACATCATGACGATTAATTAAATTTCATTCAAGAGAAAGATGCAGACTCAATTAATGAGTGAGAAGATCAACATTGAGGATGGCAAAAATATGTTGGACATATGAATACTATTAACACGACTAATGTAGTAGAAATAATTAGGGATACTAAATAAACCAGTGTCCTCATATGTGAAACACGTTAGTGCCAAAGTCAAGGCATGAAAGATCAACGGAATCAAAAACCAAGTAAATCCAAACTCAAGTCCAATACACATGCCGTGATGAAATCATGGTTGATTACATTATCGGAATTTAATACCAGTTAATATAAGTCACTATCTTTCGAGTTACCAACAAATACCTAGTTTGTATAACAGAACATTATAAAGCAAACCCAATAGTTACAATAGCAAAAATTTTACCTGCGGGAACAGGAAGACTCTTTTCCCGCAATCAGCAATGAGAACATTAAAAGGAATGTTCTTGTTTTGAAGGCAAATGCAAGAATTAGCAACAGCGTCAGATAAGTCACGCAATTTAATTCCACCCTCAAAAACAAGACCTCGCACTGGATAATTCAACAACTGTGAAACTATCACTCCTCTATCCGAAAGCTCCTTATTGCCTATCATTATTCTTTGAGTCGGGGATTTCTCAACTGGTAAGGGCGTTGATAAGTAATAAGCCTGTCATTTATATAAGATTAAATAAAAAAACTTAGAAATGACAAGAATGTCAGAGCTAACTAAAACTGCCAATTACATTTACAAGAAACAGGTGAGTAGTTGATTACCTGAAAATGGAGGTGATTAACGGTTGCAAAGGCACCCAAGCTGTTGTAACCCAGTCTGAAGAAGGGTTCTGCAGCTTCTTTAGCCATATGCAGGGCAAGCAAGAAGCTCTCATGGTTGATCCTCTGAGGCAAGCAGTCAAGAACACGTGGTATCAAAAGCACATGTCCGTACTCAATTGGGCTCACCTAGTAGCAATAACCATAAAGGAAAAATCGTTATCCATCAAAAGAAAAAAACATGCAAGCCCCACACAAGAAGAAAGCCTCAGGAAACATATCAAACTGGCTTACGTTAATAGCAACAACATTTGGCGAATTTGAATCAGCATTGACTGGTGAGATGGGAAAGAAACGGGAAGTGTAGTCATTGCTCTGTTCAAATCTGAAAAGCACTTCTTCTTGGCCAATGTTGGTGAAGTTGAACTTCTTCTCATCAAAAGGTTGAAGAACCTGATCAACACGAAACTCAGTGGGCCGCTTTTTCAGGTGGCGTCCTTCATTCAGCTGTGCAATAAAACCGTAATTTCCAGGAATAATTTTTGTCTCACAGGTGGTCACATCATACCGAAAGAGCCCTCGGGTCATTCTTTCCTCCCACTGCCCCAGCAACAAATTGCTCAGGAAAGCTATTGGGCGCCCTTCATCAAAAGAATCATCATTGCCTTTATCAATGGGCTTATCTTCATTTTTCTTGAATGCATATAGAGGAAGCTTAGAAACTGAAAAAATCAATCAGGTCAATCAATATGAATCAAAAAAGGAAAACCAGGGATTTATTAATAGCAGTTACTGAAAATAAATATTGATACTTTGTATTTATTTATTTTGTGGTTACAGTGTTTGATTGCCTGGAGACATTTAAATGTTAAATCAACCCAGAAGGCTCTAAATCCTCAAGGTAGCCAGCCTAGTACAGCTATTTCGCTTGGTAAAGGCAAGCCTTAATATTTTAAAAAACAAGAATGTTTAGCATAAGCAAGACAGTAATTTCTTTGATGGATTAAAAATATGATGGACAATTAACTTTTCATTTTCCTCTTTTCATAATCGTGTTTTACCAGCAACAAAGAGGGGACGCTTAAGTTACATTTTGCTGCAGTTTTTTGAGCGGGTCACCACCGTATAACATTTAAACGCAGGGGCGGCACCAAGTAATGAAGAATGGGGTCAACACACCCCATCATCAGCCAGCCAAATAAAAATAATTAACAAATATATAACACCAATGTGTTGAGATTTTCTTTTCACTAGTGATTTGAGAATTAGTGTTAAACTTTTTGAAGGACTCCATCAACAAAAATTCCTGCCACGGTCTATGGGATCAGTTTGCTCGTCGATAAAGTTGGCAAACGACATTATGTTTTTGAATATTAGTTCCCTCAATATTGAAAATTGACCACTTGGCTTAATTTAATTACATTTTAATTTTATTTTTAATGTGTTTTTGTTCGCAGACTGTAACATAAAATACAAATTTCCCAATTCTGTATGCTTTGCAGGCCCTCAACTTTTTCAATACAACCAAGTTGAGGGTTGAATACTTCACTTTTTTTAAAGCAAATGATACTTGTAATTCCTGTAATTTAACTTCTCATTTTGATTTTTTAAGTCTCAATCGTAACAATTTTATCTTTAAAATTTTAATTTTTTATCATTTAGTTCAACTAATAACAGTTATTGTTAGGTCATTAAGAAATTATTAGTTCATTAATAACAGTCATTATTAGTTAACTATGAAGCACATGTATTCCAAAAATAGTGTCGTATGAGTGTAAGTTTTTCTAAATGATCTGTATATTCAACTTGTATTTATTTACAAAGAGTTCATCAGTTTATATAGCCCTAAATTTATGACTAAAAAAAGAATATAAAGATTCATATTTACATCACAATCTTGCCTCAAATGCTTGCCTAATTCGAGATAGAGCCAGAATGCAGATGTTGTCAGACAAAGTGACAATCAATCTCAATGTGTTTCGTCCGTTCATGGAAGACAGTATTGCGGGCAATCTGAATAGCACTGCGGTTGTCACAATAGTGAGATATTAGCGAAGACTGAGGTACACCAAAATCAGAGAGAAGACAGCGAAGCCAAATAAGCTCAGCAGTAGCATGAGTCATAGCACGGTACTTAGCTTCAGTAGTAGAGCGAGCAACAACAATTTGTTTTTTGCTTTTCCAAGAGATCAAGGAATCGCCAAGAAACATACATAAACCAGAGGTGGATTTGCGATCATTAATATCACCAGCCCAATCAGAATCAGCAGAGGCCACCAAGTCTAAAGAGGCAGTAGAGGATAACAGTAAACCCTGAAAGATGGTACCCCGGAGATAGCGAAAAATGCAAAATAAAGCAGCCCAATGGGTAGAGCGAGGAGCAGAAACGAATTGACTAACCACATGAACAACATAAGCAAGATCAGGGCAAGTGACAGTCAAATAAACTAAACAACCCACAAGCTCGCGATAGAACGTGAGATCATTCAAAGGGACACCATCAGTAGAGTTGAGCTTCACATTAAGCTCAATAAGTGTATCAGAAACCTTAGTATCAGTAAGACCGGCACGATGAATAACCTCATTAGCGTACTTGGCCTGAGATAGAAAATAGCCCTTTGGAGAAGAGGCAACCTCAATACCAAGAAAATACCGTAATAGACCTAAATTCTTCATTTTGAAGGTGCGGAAGAGATGTCGCTTGACCTCAAAAGTAGTAGAAGAGTCAGAACCAGTGATGATCATATCATTCATATAGAGTAGGAGAGCAACAAAACCAGCCGAGGTATGTCTCAGAAGCAAAGCAGAGTCGGAAGCAGAAGGATGAAACCCAAGCTCAGTAACAGCAGTCTAAAAGTGATCATACCAAGCACGAGGAGACTACTTCAAACCATACAAAGCACGTCGAAGATGACAAACTTGCCCAGAGGAGTAGAGAAGGCCAGGGGGAGGACGCATGTAGACCTCCTCAGTGAGATGACAGTTAAGAAAAGCGTTCTTAATGTCCATCTGATAGAGAGGCCAATGTCGAACAGAAGCAACAGAAATCAAGGTATGAACAATAGTCATCTTGGCAACAGGAATAAATGTCTCATCATAATCAATACCATAATCTTGCGAGAAACCCTTGGCAACCAAGCGAGCTTTGTAATGCTTGAAAGAACCATCAGAATGAGTCTTGACTTCATATACCCATTTGCAACTAACTAGATTCTTGCCAGCAGGCAAAGGAACCAACTCCCAAGTGTTAGTCTTTTGCAAGGCAAACAACTCAACCTCCATATCTTGAATCCAATTAGGATCCTGACAGGCGTTCGCATAAAACTGAGGTTCTGAAAAAGAATGAATAACAGACAAAAAAGTATAATAGGAAGCAGAAAAACATGTATTAGACCAACCTAACTTGTTTGGAGGATGACGCTCACGAGTAGAATATCGGTGTGCAGCAGGATTAGAGTTGTTAGAAATAGAAGGAGCAACAACAGGAGTAGAGACAACTGGTGGTGGGGGAGCCTTGCGACGAGAATAGACCAACAACGGAGGGAAAGAAGAAGCTGAAGGAGGAGACGGAGCCATGGGTGACGCAGACCGAGAAGTAAGAATGGCCTCAGGAAGAACAGTGGAGATGTACTCATTAGACGGGACCTCAGAATGAAATGGATCAATATGAACCAAATCCTCTTTGGAAACTGGGGCAGTGAGAGGAGGAAGCTGAAATTAAGGTAGATATTTGAGAAAGGCAACATGGCAAGAGACATAAAGATGACGAGAAACAAGGTTATAACAGCGACAACCTTTCTGAGTGAGACTATAATCCAAAAAGACACATAGGGCAGACTGGATACTAAATTTGGTCCTATCTTTACGGGGTAAAAGGCCAAAAAAAGCAGGCCCAAGTACACGAAAGAGGGAGTAATTAGTAAGTTGGAAAAACAAAGTCTCATAAGGAGCCCGACCAAAAAGAAGAGGGGTAGGCATACAGTTGAGAAGAAAAGCAGCAGTAAGAACTGCTTCAACCCAGAAGGGAGCCGGAATGGAGGCAGAGAGAATGAGAGACCTAGCTGTCTCAAGAAGATGATGGTGTTCAGCTCGACCATTTTGGGCAGGTGTATTAGTACAAGAAGTTTTGTGAATGGTATCCAATTTGGCCAAGTATTCACAGAATTCAGTTTTAAAATATTCCCCACCCAAGTCAGGCCGCAACAATTTAATAGTAGACCCAAACTACGTAGTGGCCATAGACTAGAAAGTACGGTATATCTGGTAGAAGTTAAACTTATGAGTCATAAGATAAACCCAAGTGTAACGGGTGCAGTCATCAACAAAAGATACATAGTATGCAGAACCCCCCTGGTGAGAACAGGAGAAAGGGCCTCAAACATTAATATGAATTAAAGAAAATAGTGTATTAGATATGGAAGTACTTTTATGAAAATGTAAGGCTGTTATTTTGGTAAGTTTACACCCCCCGACATTCAGTAAGTTCACTAGGAGAAACTTTACCCAATATACCCGACTGAACTAAAGACCGTAAGCGATCAGCAGAAAAATGCCATAATTGAGAATGCCACAAGTAGAAAGGACTAGACAGAAAATCTAACTGAAAAGAAGAAAAAGTAGTCTGAGAGGTTGCCATAGGCAGATGCAAGCTCTCTACCACATAGAGGTCTCCAACTCTACGGTCGGTCCCAATTTGCTGCTTAGACATTTGATCGTGCATAGAACAGATAGAAGAAGAAAATATAACATCAAAATCAGAGACATCAAGCTGACTGATAGATAATAAACTGACAGATAACTGAGCAACATAAAAGACAGATGGAAGAGAGACAAAATACATAGCAAATGGTAGGACAAACTCAACAGATATAACAGACATACCAGATCCATTAACAGCATTGACAGTAATAGGAAAAGGAGAAGGAGTATAATTTTGAAATAAGGAGAGATGAAAAGTCATATGATAAGAGGCACCAGAGTCAAAAATCCTGACAGACGAACCTGAAGAAGACTCAAGCAAACCTGAATGAAAAGAGAAAACAATGGAGACAGACGGTGATGGTTGGAAGACAGACAGTATATGCTGAAGTTGATTAATCTGAGTACTCAAGGAAGCCAAAGCCAGGATTAGGAACCGGAACAGATGCAGTAGAACCGGCAAGAGGTCGAACGGTACTCAGAGTAGGAGCGCAAAACTTGATCGAAAATTGCTGAGAAGACAAGGCAATTACAGGCAAAGCAGGCAAACATCCCTTCTTGGGACAATGATACTCCCAATGACCTCTTTGATGGCAGAAGGCGCACTCATTAAAAGCCAGAGATATTATAATAACCAGAAAATTGAGAGGTTTAAGTATAAAAACCAAAAGAAATCTGAGGGGTCAAAATGGAATATCATAAAATAATATGACAATAATCCAGTATCAGATGATTTCAGATGCAAAATCCAATGGGTCAAATACTAATAAGTGACCAACCGAAAGATAAGGGTTTCAAACTAGCCTCAGACAGAGCCCTTACGAGAGAGAGAAGTTGAGAGGTAACTTCACTTCGATGCAAGGTTTTAAAAAGCGGCCGCAACCGTTATGTAACGGTTTTGGCAGTTACCGCCACCCGTTACGGCCGCTTTTGCAGTGTGATTGAGATTCACAGGTGTGTCGGCTGTAGCGGCTGCGGTAACGGTCGTAACGGTGCCGTAACAGCCGTAACGGCCTAGTATGCACCGTTACGTAACAGTTTCAAACTGTTTCTTTCGAAAAAACACAAAAAAAAAATTGAAAATGGAAGAAGAGGGATAGAGAGAAGAGGGAAGATAAAGAGAGAAAATAGAGGAGCAAGAGATAGAGAAGAGGGAAGATGAAGAACATGTTATTGATTTGTTAAAACTATAAGACCTATGCTATTCTATTCAGCTGCTATCACTAAATCATTTTATTTGTGTGTGTCTATCTATATATTGTTTGAAAATAATAATAACAATAAGTGTGGTCATTATCTATTTGGCTTGGTTAATATATATATATATATATAAGCTCTTATTTATTCTTTTACTTTTATCATTGTTTATCTTATATATAATAGTTAGTGATTGATTTTTTATATAATATAAAGTCATTAATTATTAAAATAAAATGTAAAAAATTCAATTTATAGTTATTTAAAAATATGAAATATATTGCATCATACTTAAAATTTACAAAAATTGATCAATATTTATTTTTAACCCAATAAATATGATCATGGAAAAAAAATATGCGTATCGGTAAGTTTTTTTCAAATTGTGCAAAAAATAAAAAAATTCACGGTTCCGGTTACCGCAATCGTTACACTACGGCCTTTACACCCCGCAACCGCAATCGCGTCACCGCCACCGTTACGGCGACCGCAACCGCTTTTCAGAACCTTGCTTCGATGTAACCAACAGATGCGACGAAGCAACTAGAGAACCATACACCATGGACAACCGCGAGTCAGAGAGCAGCGAGAAAAAGTTATGAGTTAAAGATTTGAGAACTAGAGACAATCGCGAAGCTGAGGGGTAGTGATTTCAAACCAGCTAGGTCGCGAAATTTGTCCAGAGAGCTTCGAACCAGAGAGAGAACCAAGGGTTTCGACAGACTGAACTAGAGATGGGTCGAAGTCGTGCAAAACTGAGATGGGTGGCGAGAATAGATAGGTCGAACTCCAATGACCTAGAGAGCAATCTCGAGTGAACCACCAACCAAACTCAGATCGAAGCTCAGATAAGAACCAAAGGGTTGCGTGATTGCTGCTAGGGCTTGGCTCTGATACCATGTAAGTTTTCTGAATGATCTGTACATTCAACTTGTATTTGTTTACAAAGAATTCATCAATTCATATAGCCCTAAATCTATAACTAAAAAAGGAAATACAAAGATTCATATTTACACCACAATCTTCCCTCTAATGCTTGCCTAATTCCTAATATACACACATGCCATATATACACAATATATTCTAACAATGAGTACCGGGTATTTAGCGGGTGCGGGTACATATACCGGTACGGCAGTACACGTATCGGGTACGCCAAATACACGCTAGGTACGACAAACACATTTAAGATACATCGTGTGTACGACACCGGTACGACAAGGTAATTTTTTATTTTTTTTTTTGTAGCTGCTAAAATTTGTTGCAACCTTTATTATTCTTCTATCAATTCTGAAAATATCAAGTAATTTATTTCCAACACTCTTTACCCACGAGTCATGATTTTGCTCTCTTTTGCATTATGTTTTAAATAATCAAAAAAGAAAAAGAAAGAGAAAGAATTATATAACTTTTTAGATAAACTGTTCTCTTTTTAATTTTGATATTGAAATTTTGACTTGTATGTTGGATGCTTAACTATAAATTAAAAAATTAAAAATTAAAAAAAATTGATGTATCCCAACCGTACTCGTACCTTACTTTTTAAAGAATTTTTTGTATCAGCGTATTCGTATCGTATCCGTATCCGTACCCGTATCTGTACCCACACCCGTGCTTCATAGTTAGTTAACCAATACTTCATTAAGAAATTAGACATAAATCCAGGGCAAAATAATCCATTCAAAATTGTATGAACCATTTTAAAGAGTGATTCTATTCACACACTATTTATTATCTCAGTACACATCAGTTACACAATTTACACCACACACTCTATTTCAACTTCTTTATTTTTTCTCAATTCACACTAACAATTTTCAATTTATTCTGAAATACCCTCATCTTCAATCAGGTACCATAATCCTAATCCTAACCCTAACCCTTGCCACTGCCGCTATCCCATCGGCCAGTCCCGTACCCGCTCAGCTCTAGTGACTCTCCTCACCCTTTCCTAATCCATCCCCATCACCTCCACCTCTCCCCGCTACCCTACGTTACACAGACTCAGGTGTGGGTATCGGATGTGGGTGCGTATCTGAGGATTGGACACTTCAAAATTAAAAATTGAGAATACGTGGATACGGATCCAAATTGGGATACAGGTACGGGGATACGTTAAATAGTTTTTTTTTTTATAAATATATTTATTATATGAAGATGAGTTAAAAAAAGTTAAGGAATAACATATTTTGTTTTAAAAAATAACAAATAAAATATAAATAACAAATAAAAATCATTTAAGTATAAAATAAATAATATTATATAGGATAAAATAAATTATTTTTATTTTAGGTATAAAAATTATATTATTTATGATATATTATATTATACAAGTATATTATATAATATGAATAATATTATACAATGTTATATTATTTTATAATATTTTATTAATGTAATTTATATTATATAATATATAAGAGAAAGAGGATAGAGAAGAGAAGACAGTCGACAGAAGAAGAGAGAAAGAGAGAAGCGGGAGATTGAGAGACGAGAGAGAAGACAGATCGAGAGAGAGAAGACAGAGAAGGAGATCGAGCATTGAGCGAAGAAGATCGATGTCGAAGTTGAAGCAGTCAAAGCCGTCGAAGCCAACAACTAGAGGAATCGAAGTTGGCGATTAGATCGAACAGCGAACGGTAGCCAGGTTCTCGCTTGCTCTCTCCTTTTTCATTTCTTTTGCCGTATCCTTTTGTGAAGAGTCGTATTTCGACTGTATCCTGCACCCACACCCGTGTTGTGTCGTGTTGTGTTGACACGGGTACTTCCGAAAATCTAAGGAGTCTATGTAACGTAACCGCCGCCACCCACCCACCCATCCACATGTGATCTCTCTTTCTCTCTCAATTGCAATTGCGATTGCGATTGCGATCTACTCTTTCTTCGTTGTCGAGCTGTGGTGGCATTGCAAAAGGGTGGGGATAGGTTGCGAGGCTGTGAAAGGGGCGCTGGGAAGGCTGTGGGAGGCGTTAAGCCTGAGTGGGAAGGGTTAGCGCGAGGAGGTGAAGAGGGCTTGGGGTGGTGCCAGAGGTGAGAGTAGCAATTATGGTGGTTCACGATGGTGGAGCAACGACTAGACTGGGACGTGGTGGCGACGGTGCAATGGGGTTGGGGAGTGAGTGAAAACGGTGGGAGGGTTCATTGAGATGATGGTTACGGTGGTGTTGGTGTTGGCGTTGGCGTTGGCTGGTGTTCTATAATGAATGGTACGCACTACGTATTGAGAGGTTGGGGTTTTGTCTAAAATGGTAATTCGATTAAGGGATATAATAAAAATTTATAAAATAGGTACTGGTGGGAAACGAGAACTTTAGAGGCACCTAAACAGAATTAACCCATTTTAAATTGTACCCAAGCACTTGGGAGCTTCTATTTACACCCCCAAATTCTTCTCCTTAAACTCACCTTCATTTTACACCCTCCATTATTCCAACATTATCAACATTCCTAATCTCTTTATCTTCCCTTTACACTGACTCCCCCTGAACTAGGGTTTGAAGGTTCCAAAAGGTGGTAAAAAGTGGTAGTTGTTTTAATTTTTCCTTTTTTGCCTTCCTAAAATGTAATTTTGTTGAGGGATAACATTGTAAAGGCAATTATAATTTGAACCAAATTGATTCAATACGAAAAATCTAACAATAAATTGATATACCCTTTTTTTAAATTATTGACACAACATCAATTCAACAACAAACCAAATTAACAATAGAGGGTAATCAACAACATCAATTACGAGTATAATTTGTTGAAAAAAATATACTAAGAAAGTCCGAAATTCATAAAGGGAAATGTACCAGGTAAGCAGGAGTTGCAGAGGCAATTGCGGCCACAACCAAGGGGGGGATGGATCTTGTTGGTATCTTCCGAACCATCTTCCTGGTAGTTCGAAACAACAGTCGGAACCCTTTTTATAGTCAACATCGTAGTTGCAGTCAAATCTGCGTATATATATGTATGTATGTATATGTGTATGTACGAATACCAATTAAGGTGGTAAGAAAAAGGAAGAAAAAAATTGGTTAGATTAGGAGGGAAGAGGGGAGGGAAACGCCGCCGCCGGCGAGGAAGAGGAGATCGGAAGGGCAGCCTCCTTCGGAAGGGAGGGCACCCCTGCCGCCGTGAGGGGAAGGGTTACGGTGTTTGTCGACCTCCTCCACTTGATTAGGTATCCGCCGGACCTGGATTAGGGAATTGCTGTGGTGGTGGTGGTGGTGGATTGTCCACCGGAGCGATCCAATTCCAAATAAAGCCGTGATGATTTCGGTTTCAATTTGGGAGGTGGGTTAGGGTGTTTCTTTTCTTCTTCCAGTTTCTGATCGTTTCCTCAGAGAGAGAGAGAGAGAGAGAGAGAGAATTGGGGGGGTTACACAAAGAGACGGTTATATTTGACAAATTGTAGTCGTTGAATCGTCAACCAAGGAATGCGATTGTACTTTGGTCAACCAAATGACTCGCTGGCTGCCCCAAGTATCATTCATTGTGGGTGTTTGAATATTTATTGTTTTAATCGGTTATGTTAAAATTTTTATATTTGAATGGATAGTTGGATTTTTTTAATTGAATATGATATTTGTGAAAAAAAATTTAAATGATTATGAATTTGATATGATATTTTGTCTTATTAATTATTTAAGTCTATTTTATCTTTTTAAAAATTTTAATTCAAAAAATTACAAAATAACTTTTGTCAAACATTTCTATTATGTTATTCAATCGTCTAATATAAATAATTAATATTTTATTTTTTATTAATTATATTATTATAAAATAATACGTGATTACACTTTCTGACGATAGAATAATCATCAGACTGTTTTAATATTTTTTTTTTCTTTTTACAATTTTTTTAGGAAAAAAAAAAATTAAGAATAACGTCATCATTCGACTGAAAGATCACGGCCTAGTGGATTTTTGCATGGCTTAAGCTAGTATTTGAGGTAGGTTGGCTCAGCCTAAATGAAGCTTGGGCCTAAGGTTTAAAGCCCAACTTATTGATCATGAAAGGCAATTTCTTGATCTAGCTCTCAAGTTTGAAAAAGAAAAATGGAAAAGATAAATAAATAATTAAAAAATAAAAAGATAGGTCTCTCGACTTGTGAAAGGTGTAGCAAGCTTGACCTATTTGCTCGTTTGGGCTGAGTTCCATTGGGCAGCTTAAAATTTTAACTCTGGACTTATTCGTTAATATATATATATTTTTTATGCTCAATAGGCCCAATGCCAAACCCTTGCACACATGTTTCAAAATTTTACTTTTATAGGAAAACGAAATAGATTGTTGCACGTGAGTTGGTGATTGAAAGTGATTACTGGTGGTCGGAGGTGGAGATAGTGAACTTGAGCTTAAAATTTTAACTCTGGACTTATTCGTTAATATATTTTTTTTTTATGCTCAATAGGCCCAATGCCAAACCCTTGCACACATGTTTCAAAATTTTACTTTTATAGGAAAACGAAATAGATTGTTGCACGTGAGTTGGTGATTGAAAGTGATTACTGGTGGTCGGAGGTGGAGATAGTTGAAGTAATGGGCGATGAGTGATTGTCGAAGGAGGTAAGGGAGAGAGAAAGATGAATCGTTTACAATTTTTGAAAAATGAGTGAAACAAAAAAAAAAAATAATAAAAAAAAATTCCAAGCACCGGAAGTTAGTAAATTTTTTAAAATTGTTTACAATTTTTTTTTTGAAAAAAAAAAATATTAAACAAGTTTTTAATTACAATTTTAAAAATTATATCTCAAACTTTAACAAATGGATTAGTAGATTTTTTTTTTCCAATCTTAAATTTTTTATTACTGTATTAAAATAATTTTCTTATAAATTTTATCAGCCTGCGCAGGAAAGTCCATACACTTTATTTGTAGAGAGTCAATTAGTGTGTTTGATTTGAGTTTTTTGAATTAAATTTTTTTAAAATTGAATTTTTTGGTTTTTGTATTTTTTTGTTTTTAGTGAATATTTTTTAAATTTTAAATACTTTTTTTACTTTTTTTGATGCACCTTAGTTAGATGTATCTAAAAAGTAAAAAATTTGTGAAAAAATTAATAAATAAATAAAAATATAAAAAAATATACTGAATTTTTGTATTTTTTTTTGTATTTTTGATATTTAGTGAATTTTAAAAAAAAAAATTTTACAATTTTTTTACTTTTTAAGTGTATTTATGTTAGGTGTGTCTAAAAATAAAAAAATAAAAAAATTACTTAAAATATTAAAAAAATTTAATAAAAACAAAAAAATTAAGATTATGAACTATTATGATTAAAACTTTGGATGCATATCGTTAAAAAGCTTTTGAGGTGTATATAAATTTAATATGACTTATTGGGTCATTCTACCAATAAACATTTGCAATACTTATTGGGTCATTCTATCAAACTTTAATATGACTTATTGGGTCATTCTATCAAACGCGTGTAATGATCATAATTGATTTGAGTCTAGTAAACTCACACCAAAAATTTAAAAAAAAAAAAAAAACATGATTAGTTTATATTATTTTGAAAGTTGTAGGATCCCCAACTTTAAGAGTTTTAAGCATTTTTATAAATAAAAACAATAAAAAATTTGGGAAATAACAATACATTTTATTTTTTAATGTGAAACACTACAACAAAATACACTTTTGGCGACTTAAAAAAATTTAGTTGCCTAAACTTGTGGAATTGGCGACCAAAATTTTTTTTTATCGGCAAAAATATAATATTTAGCTACTAATTTTTTTTAGTCGGGAAATTTTGATTATTGGCGACTAATTTTTTACTAGCTAAAAATGCCACAATTGGTGACTAAAAAATGTTTTAGTCGCTGTATAGATAGTTTTGGCTACTAAAATTTTTTAGTTGCCGAATGAAAAACAAAAATTTACTTTCAGACTTTTGGCGACCAAAAATTTAGTGGCCAAAAATTTATTTTCAGCGACTAAAATAGTTTTGGCTGCTAATTTTTTTTTTGTCACCACATAAAAAATAAAAATTTACTTTTTTATCTTTGGTGACCAAAAGTTTGGTTACCAAAAACTTATTTTTAACGACTAAAAAATATTTTAGTTGCCAAAGAATTAAAATATTTGGAGGTAAAATTTTGAATTTTGGAGGGATTTATAAAATTAATTGGTGACCAAAATATTTAGTCGCCAAATTACTGCTTTTAGCGACTAAAACAATTTTAGTTGGCAATAGTATATAATTTAGGCTAAAATAATATTTAGTCAAATTTTTCACACCTCTTTTAGCGACCAAAATAGTATTTAGTCGCCAAATGGCATGAAATTATTTACTCCTTATATACATTTCCCGACAAATAAATCATTTAGTCGTGGAAGCTCAAAATTTTATAGAGGGAATAATTTCAGATTCGCGCCTCTGTCTCACACTTTTACCCTCTCTGTGTATACACCACAACTACATAACCTCTCTTTCAGCAAACCTCACCTCTGCAAATCAACAAACCTCATGGCGATCAAACCTTATGACCGTGCATCCTCAGCACCGTCGGTCCCTGTACGCTGCAAATCAGCACCACCACCGCCACTAACAGGTTCGCTCTGTCACTCATTTTCCCTCTGTTGCTCTTTCGCTCTCTGTCTCGCTCTGACTCTCTCTCTCTCTCTCTCTCTCTACCCCTTCTTCTATTTCCCCAACTATGAACTCTTGCTCTAGGGTTGTTTATTCTGTCCATTCAGTTTAATTTTGTCTTCATTTCTGAAATGGGTTTGTTTGAAGTGGTTTCATTACTAGAGTTTTATGGGTTTAATATTGTAAATGGGTTTGATTTTAAGGTTTGATACCTTTTCCCCTATTTTTCCTTTCTCTCTCATTAGTTTCAAAGCCCTAATCCATTGTATGTAATCTCATGTGTTCAAAAATAGAAATTATCAAATAAAAGTGTTATCAGTGGCAAGGTATGAGGTTAAGATCTGATCCATTTTCAAAGGTTCTAGGTAAGTAATTTTCTTGAATTTAATTTTCCAAAGGTTGTTGTTTGCTGACATTTATAAATAAAAAGCATATTGTACATTTGTTGGAGGTTAAAAAATGTGCACACTTCTGTATTTTTTTTTTGGTTGTAATTTTCTTCACTAATGAAGATTCATCTAGTAATGATGGCAGAAGGCTATTTTTGTGGATTTGAACTTACAGCATTTTTTAATGCTTAACAAGGTTTTGTCATTTTTCTTGTTTTAACAGGTTTTTTTTCCTAGATGATTTGATTGGATTCGAGATCACATATCTTCTTTTGGAGGTAAATTTTTTATTTTTATAGCTTTTTCTTGTTCTCAAATGGAACTGTATGGAACCATGAGGTGGTAAGATGCAAATTGTTTGAAATACACAGTTGGCTAACAGTTTTGAGATGTACTTTGGCCTTTCCGAGTGACCACAATTTTGATACATGATGAAACCTGTTCATTAATAGGATTATCCCAAGTCAAATCACAACTGAACAAGTTTGCTCCACCAATTCTCTAGGCAACTAGTCATAATTTTTTACAGAATTTAATTTCATTGTAGATAGAAGTTTCTCAGCATCTCAAAATACTATAAAAACAAAGTTAGTTCTTCCTAGGATGGTAGTTGGCCTTGTTACAACCAAAGTTTATTAGAGATTAATTATACGTTATGAACGGTAAAAAAAGAAAAAAAGAAATGGTTTTTAAGTTGAACACGTTCACATATTGTAATAGGTTTTGTAATTCTATATTTGTAAAAGCTTTTGATTCTCTTTTTGGAAGAAAAAGGAGTGAGTTGAATATTTTCCTTCAAGAATAGGGATAAGAGTGGGCAATTGATTTCCCACTAAAGCTACCATCTCAGTTTGCTAAGAACCTGAAGACGTCCCCGAACATTCCAGGAGGGAATCCCGTTTTGTTCATTTGGGCTCACTACAGTTCAGACTCAATGTCACGGTCTTGTATCTAATCTCGCAGAGTGCAAAGCAAGACCGATGAATCATTAAAGAGTCCAAATCCGGCAAATCATTTTGAAAAATTGATTTTTAGAAAGAAGTGCCAAACATGGACTGCTTTGCTAGATACAGAGTCGTAACCTAAATATTTTATTTTAGGGGAATTTAGGAAACCCTGACTCGTGCCTAAGGCCACGTGTCCGTTATCACCAAAGTTGCCTCGGCTCGGGAACTTGGGTACGATTGGGGAAGGTCACTTCGTGAGCACCCCCGCTTGCCTGATCACAGATCGGCCTCTACTAACCATGATATCGAGTTTTGAAAACATTATGTGCTCTTATTCCGGTTTATTAGCCTAGAATTACTATGTGATGCGCACAGCATACAAGTATAGACTGGATTGCCTAAGTTGGAACAAAGCATCGCACATCCATTTGTTTTGAAAATGGATTGAAGTTTGCTACTCGCAAGTAGGCTAAAACACGGGTTTCGACGAATTATCCCAACTCAAGCAACC